CCCGCGTTCTAAAAGGATGGAAGTTGGCGCCCGAGCTTCGAGCGCGTCCCGAGTCCGTGCGGGATTTTAAAAAAAGACCCATTTTTTGAAATGATCAGAGAGAGCCTCGTGTAAAAAAATGAAACGAAAGGGGCATACTTACGCTTTCATTGACTTTCTTGATTTTGATTTTGAACATTGGTTTCACGTGGCAAGTGCCTGGCATAAAGGGCCGACTGCCCCTCTCAGAACCCGGCACTGAATACAGGTTCCCTTGGTCAACCCACCACATGGCTTCCCGCTTCAAATGCACGTGCTTTTACTTTTCGTTTTTCTGGGTGAGCGCTGAGGCAGAGAACGGGTGAATGTTGCGAGTTTAGTGCTTAAATCCGCCGAAGGGAACGTGTCCCCCTCCCTCCAAACGCTAATCAGGCAAATGGAACGCGCTGTGTCCCCAGGTGCGCTCCATAGATGCCAGGCTATTCCTCAGCGAATGCAAAGGATGACAAGCGTCAGTACTTCATACAACTAGATTTAATAAGTTGTTATTACAGAAAAAAATGAAGTCCAAACTACAAAGTTTAAGCAGTTGAAGCAGTAGCTGCATTGAGCTCCATGTTTAGTCACAGGACTGCAGTTCCATACAAGCAATGTTAGTCCAAGCCCCAAAGGCAGAAGCTGAGTAAGGGTTACTAGCAAAAACAATCTAAGAGAACAGGTAATAAAAGATACAATACATTTAAAATTAGTTGTTAGTTGAAAAACAAATACAGAGATCTTAGCTGTGAACACTCTAAAAGTTATGTCCATTATTTTGACAGCAAAAATACAAATACCTAATACTTTATACCCCAACAGAACTATATCCAGAAAAGAAAAAAGAGCAGAAGTTGTCCTGTATTAGCACCCTAGTTTTCTACTTGTGGCGATTAACTTCACCGTCATACAAATTTAAACCTCCCCGAATCATATATCCACTTCTTGACCCATTTTGGGGTATAAAGTCAACAGCATTAATTATAAAATACTCTGTGGTAAAATGGAACACTATTGCAGCTGAGATAGAGAAGTTTGGTTATTATTTAAAAAAAAGAAACAGAAAATGTTAGCTGACATACCATACAAACCGGTGAAAAAGCAACAATCCATACAAATAAGCCAGTTTTAACAAAAAGATACTTTTTTTTTTCACTAATCTGTGACTAATCTTTCACTCAAACCTTGCAAGTAGAGATGTCACAATACTCAAATATTTAGGTAGGAGCCTTACCCAGTTAAATACCATTTTGTTGCTAATACAATAGATAAAATTAAAACTAGCAGTTATTTGCTAATTGCATCAATGCAATACATTCTGCATTAGCCCATGCCTCACTAACAAGCTATAAAACACAAGATATAAGCAGAAATCTAAGCATAATCTTTATACCACTAAGCAAGAATTTCCCAATTTCGTTTCTTCTGTTCCTAATCACTTATTTGTGAGTTAATGTAAAATTCCAACCAGTAAAACCCAATTTGAGTTAAAATTTTACATCACGACTTGATCTAATCTATATATTATTTACAAAACTGAATACAGAGAGCATACCCAAAAGCCAACGCTGGACACCCGTTTCTCCGAGCCATTGACAACCTCGCCTCCCTGGCAGCGGGACCGGAAGAGGCCGGCAAGGACTAGTAGAAACACACCATCGATCTAGAGCAAGTCATTGGATGTTCTGTTTACGCAACACCAGTTTTGCAGTTGTATGTTGGGTTTTTTTTGTCGTCTTAATTTTAGGTGCCGTTACAGTGGCACGCTGCCTTCACAGCACAGCTTCGAGGTGAGGTGGGTGTTGGAAAAGAAGCAGGAGGGCAGACAGATCATGCTCAGAGGGTTGCCAGATGTGTTGCCACAATAAGGGACAAACGAGGGGCACCATAGCAGGGAGCAGGTGGGAGGTGAAGGAAGATGAAGTCTGAGACTGTCCATGACCGTGGTGACGGCTGAGAGTGCCTCTTCGGTACACCCCCCAGAGGAACTGGGGTGACTCAGGGGAGACCCTGCAATCTGTGTCTAACTACCCAGAAGGTGGTGTCCTCTCAGCAATTCCTTTTACTCTCAGACGTCACCACAGTGAATGAATGGAAAGGGTGTGGCCTGGGCGAAAGGCACCATCTCACACATGGTCAGCAGTGGGAGGCAGATTCTCACACACACACACACACACACACACACACACACACGACATAATGAAGAGTCAGAGGGGAAAGCAATGAGTCATTCTGTTGACCTGGCCAGGTGTCAGCCTGGTGGTGTCTCATGAGGGTGACCATGATCAGGGCCACAGATGTGGCTGCACCTGGTGTTGTATAAATCCACTGTGACATCCCTAGAGAACTGTACTGTGACATCCCTAAGCTTACACTAAACCACTGTAACAAAGGAAAAGGCTTGTCAAAATCTCACATGTTCTGCTCATTCTGTCATTTTATTACCCAATTATTCATTACATTTTCCAATCACTTTACATAACCAACCGTTTTCATTGTTGTCACACTATTGTAAACCACATCAGCAAGTTAATACATAAAGCTTTGCATTTCAAAAAACTAGACACTTTAGTAACAATATTACAAAGGTTTTAGCTTCAAAAATAACTGAAAATGAAAAAAATAAACTTTTAAAGAATTAGCATCATAAAATTAATTTATTCCAAGTAAAAATACAAAATAATATTATGACATTGACCAGATATGAAAGTCCCTCCCAGAAACAACTCTATTAATGATTGAGAAAGCACTCCTTAAAGAAAATACGAAATAAAATGAAAAATATGTAAATATGTTTAATTTTTTTCTTAGCAAAAAATCTCTCTAAAAATAACAATGAAAATTTGTCTCAGTACAAAGGCTACATTACTATTGAAAAAATACCAGCATGAAGAAAAGGTACATATTTGACAGTAGAAAAATGATTTCAGTGAATCACAATGTCTAAAGTTTGCAATGAAAATAAATCTGCAATAAAGATTTATGCCTTTTTTCTTTTCTTTTTTTTTTCTATTTTTTATACAAACAGTACAAACAGTATTGCACATAACAACAAATAGTCGAGGTTAGGTTATAGCCTTCAAAAAATCGACTAGTTCAAGTGTCACATCAAGGAAAGGCCACAACAGGACCTGTGATACCCAGGGGCTTCCCAGTCAAGTTGCAGGTCAGAACACCTCTGTGTTTTAAAAAATAATTTTTTTTGAAGGACCCTCTCTTTTAATATAACATTAACAACTTGGGGGGAGGGGGGCACATTTATTTACAAAACAAAAGGGAACATGTTATAATTTAATAAACTAAAAAAGTTCTCTTTAAAAAAATACAAACAGAAGAATTCTTTCACAATCCTGGCCAGTCGTGCACAATCAACGCTTGATTATAAATATACAAATTAAGGGAAAGTAGTTTCCACCATCTATTCACAACTTTCAGCACCAAATGGAGTTTATTTTTTGTAACCTATTCTTCATGACCACGTTTTTTCTCACTTTCACGTTAAGCTTTATGCTGTACAATCTTCCAGCTTTTTTGTTGTTGTTGTTGTTTTTTTAAATCTCAGTGTTATTTTAGTACATGAAAGAGGGGTGCTTCTTCAAAAAGTTTTGCTTCTTTCATATAATTAGGTAGATTTCTGTAGGTTAGATATGATCTTTAATATTATAGTTATAAAGCTCTAACTTCTTCATTTTCAAAAAACACAAATAAGCATGAAAAAAATAAAGTTACCCATCTGTTAAATCATTTTTCTTGCAGAATTAAATTAATATATATTTTTCTGAATAAACTTACTTAGAAAATATCATTTTCTCTCCTATATTTCAAAATTGAGGTATTGCAAAAGATCATGTCAGTCAGAAAGCATGCCTTTTTCCTTAAAAACAAACAAACAAAAAAATCTTCAGCCAACTTTTGAAAACTGTCTAGAATACAAAAAGTAGTAGTGCATAACAAAATTTCTTGTACAGATGAAAAAACAAACCACAAACATAGAAAACAAACAAACAGAAAACCACAGCTGGGCTGGAAAAAAGCAATTCTTACCAAAAAGCCCAGAGGTAACCTCAAAAGGGGAGAATTTCTAATAAGCATTTTTAATCCAGTAAAAAACTATTTTGTTTTTCCTTTTTGGAAACAATCTATAGTTTGAGAGCTGGTAATTGCAACGAAACACCGGAGAAACAAAACAGAATGGGACGAAAACAAGCAATATTAACTTAAGACAGTACAAGGACATCACAGCACGTAAAACACAGCGATTTAAACCTAGTCTGCAGTGTCATATCCAGTCAGATTGTCCCCAGATTTCCAAAACATAGGAAGAAGATTAAAAAAAAAATCTACATAGTCTCACAATCATCGTGTGTGTTTATATATTACTATCTGCAGCCCAAGAGTGAATGCTAAAAAAATGTCCACGGTAGTATTAGCAGGTCTTAATTCTATTCAAGCTTTACAGGATAAATCCAGGGAATTAAGTAGTGAATTTCTCACCCAGACAACCAACCCCACCCAGGCCATCGTTTCTTGTACAGACATTTCTTTAGCATCACCATCACGCGACTTTCTTAAAGTGTGCCTAGTTTGTCAATCTGACAACTTATCTCTATATACTGTATATATTCCTAGTGTTTGTAAGCTAAGATGAGCTCTTTGGTTTTCTGGACAAGGTCTGAAGCTATGTAAAATGGTGCAAGCACTAGGAGATTGGAACTAAGAGCTCATGTGTTAGTTAAGAGTATACCAGTTGTGAACTGTCAAGTTCATTAACGTCTGACACAGAGGCTTTAAACAGTTAAGTTTGATCACAGTTAGACATAATCACTTTACTATATAAAATAAATTGCACAATATATAACAGAGCACCGCAAAGTACTTCATCTACCATCCACGAATTTGCTTTAAGAATATCCTACACCTAGGTTGTATATTGGTTGTAATATAGGTCATTCTGTTATGGACTCTTCCTAATTTCAGAAGCATTCCATTTATTGAGGCATGCCTTCCTCCAGTCAATTACCAATTCTTTGAATGAAAAAAATCTTGTGTTTTTTTTTTTGTTTAAAAAAATCAGTATTTTATAGCTTATATAGATTCTTAATTTGTGCATTGTGGGAAGGTTTCATACTAGACATTGGATATAAAATTTATTGCATGCAGCAACCTGATTAAGTAAACATGCAGTCGGAAATAGTGACCTTCCGTTGAAGCCTTCTGAAGTCTCTCCTGATCTCCTTTCGGCAGCGGATTCTATCCCTAAATCACAGAAGTGTGTTGTTGGGTTTTTTTTTTCATTGATACCTTAGCCTGAATAGAGTATTATGGTATTAATAATACCATTTTAATAGCAGCAAAAGCTATTGCAGCATAAATTTACGTAACACTAAAAGATCTAACTGAAGTCCTCAGCAAAACAAAAAATCAAACGTGAAGGAAAAAATAAAGATTCAGCTTATGAGGTATCCTTACATGTCAAGATAGAGAGCAACTAAAGGCTTATTTTCATTAAGGGTTATCCTTACTCTAAATGACCCCAACTAGTGATTGCTGAATTGTTGTGAAGTTTTTGCTACATCTGCCACCTACTCACGAGTATTACCTTTGGTAAGTCTTCTCCTAGGGGCAACTCTCTAAGTTTCTGAAAATAAGTGCATGCTCCAGTTCAAAAACAATCGGAACAACAACAACACAACAACAACAAACGAAAAAATCACAGACGTCGACCTGACGGCCGCTGATGAGAATGGCAGTCTACGTACTGTCACGGGGGACAAGTCAGGTGTAAGAAATGAAGGTACCAAGCAGACAAAGGTGTGAATCAAAGTGCAAATCAGTACCGTTATACACTCTGCAATTTTGCATTATACTGGACATTGAGTTCAGTAATATGACTGTAAATAATAATAATAATAATAAAAAGACCCATTTCTTCTTTAAAAATCGAGAACGAATGCACAGATTTCCAGAACACTGTAAGCCCTGAGGCAGTGCCCTCTCGTTTCCCTCCGTGTCATCTACTCCAGTACTTGTGGCCAGGTCTGCCCTGGGCTCAGCTCCAGCGGAACGGGACGTGGCGAGGGCGGTCGCCTCCCTCCTTCACCAGCGGTTTGTGGAACTCCCGCCCGGCGCGGGAGTGGATGCTGGCCCAGCAGTATTCGCAGTAATACTGCAGGCAGGTGACGTTGGCACAGAAGAACGGGGCAAACTTCCCCCCACAGCGTGTGCCCTGGCACTCATCACACATCTGATCATCCAGCACATATGGCTTCACTTCCACCTGCACCCAAAGAGGAGAGACAGGAAAAAGGTTTAGCAAGGCTTCCTCCCGTTCCTCCTTTCCAGACTCTACGGTAGAGCTACTGAGGCGTCTCAGTCCCATGCCACCTGGAACTCAGCTGGTGTCGGGCTGTAGCAGAGAGAATGGGCTCTGGAATCTGCTCCTGTGTTTACTGGTTGTGTTGTTGTAGGCAGATTCTCACCCCTCTGTGCTTCTGTGCGCTCTTCCTGAGCCCTGTACACACACGCGCACACACTCAGTTGTCTCCCTGTAAGATGGGGGTAACAGTGTCCACCTCAAAGGGTCCTGGTGAGGATTCTAAGGCAGCACCTGAGCTGAACCCTGAAGGCCAGGCAGCACCAGACAATGCGGGACAAGGAAGAGCATTTCGGGGAGAGGAACCAGCCAGGACGGGGCCCAGAGCAGGCGAATGCAGGGCATGTCCTTGGGGATTGGTCTGGCAGGAGCCAGGCTGGAGGGGCTGGGAGGGGGTGGGACGCACATGGAGATAGATGGGCCAGGCAGCTGAAGGGTGCTACTGCCCCGAGGCTCTGGGCTTCGTGCTTTAATGACACGGCTAATATCCCACCCAACAATTTCATGTTTTTTAGTTTTTCTTAAGATAAAATGAACCATTTTAAAGTGAACAATCCAGTGGCATTTAATACGCTCACAATGTTGCACAATCACTGCCTCTGTCTAGTTCCAAAACATTTTCATCGCCCAAGGGATACCCTATACCCACTCAGCAATCACTCACCCCACCTCTCCCTGGCTACAACCAACCTGCTTTCTGCCTAAGGGTTTGCCTATTCTGGATAGTTCCTATAAATGGAATCACACAATACGTGACCTTTTGTATCTGGCTCCTTTCACGTGTCATGTTTTGAGGTGCATCCCTGCAGCAGAATTTCACTCCTTTATATGACTGATATTCCGTTACACGTGCATGTATATATCACACCTGGTTTATCCACTCCCTCACTCACTGATGGACATTTGGGTTGTTTCCACCTTCTGGCTACTTGAATGGTGCTGCTATCAACGTATGGACATATATTTGTTTGAATCCCTGTTTTCAATTCACTGATGGACATTTGGGTTGTTTCTACCTTCTGGCTACTGTGAATGGTGCTGCTATCAAGGTATGGACATATATTTGTTTGAATCCCTGTTTTCAATTCTTTTGAGTATATACCTAGGAGTAGAATTGCTGGGACACACGGCAATTCTATGTCTAACTTTTTGAAGAACTGCCAAATTGCTTCCCACAGAGGCTGCACTGCTTTATATTCCCACCAGCAACGTACCCGGGTTCCGATTTCCCTACATAATCACCAACACTTGCTGTTTCCCACCTCTGTGATTACTGCTGTCCTAGTAGGTGTGGTTTTCATTTCCATGTCCCTACTGACTAATGACTGTGAGCAGCTTTTACTGGTCATTTGTATATCTTCTCTTCTTTTCTTTTTTCTATCACCATTTATCCCCTCTACGTACACTTTCCTTGGAGAAAGATCTATTTCAAGTCCTTCGCCCATTTTTTAATTGGATTGTTTATCTTTTTGTTGTTGTGCTGTAAGCATCCTTTATATATGCTAGACACTAGACTTTTATCAACACACTAGATGCCTGTTGCAGGAAGATTCCTGTAAGAATAGGGCTTCCTTGGGCCTATTCCTGCAAGAATAGGGCTTCCTGAGAATGGAGCGAGGCAGAGAAGGGAGCGAAGCCCACCTACTCAGGCTTCACTCCCTTCTCTGCTGCCTCACTCCCTCCCTTCGCTGCTTAGCCCTCGGCTCCCTCCCTTCTCTGCCGCTTTGCTCCCTCACCAGGTCACGAATCAGCCTCGTGCACTGCCAGCCCCGCCTGCAGTATGCAAATTAGCTGCCATCTTTGTTGGTGGCTAATTTGCATATCACACTGATTAGCCAATGGGAGGTGTAGCGAGGTATGATCAATTACCATGTTTGTCTATTATTAGATAGGATAATTTGCAGATATTTTCTCTGACTTTGTAGGTTATATTTTACTTTCGTGATAATGCCTTTTTTTAAAAAATTTTGTTTTATTGCTTAAAGTATTATAAAGAGTATTATGTGTGTCTCCTTTTTTTCCCCTTCTTGTCGTGATAATGCCTCTTGATGCACAAAAGGTTTTAATACTGATGAAGTCCAATTTATTTATTTCCTTTGTTACTCCTCCTTTTGATGTCACTGCCAAATCCAAGGTCATGAAGATTTACCCTTACGTTTCTTCTGAGAATTTCATGGTTTCAGCTCCTATATTTAGGTTGAGTGATTTTGAGTTGATTTTGTATATAGTGTAAGGAAGGGGTCTACTTTATTCTTTTGCATGTGGATATCCAGTTGCCCCAGTACATTCGTTGAAGAGACTATTCTTTACCCATTGAATGGTCTTGGCAACCTTGTCAAAAATCAACTAGAGGCCCAGCCTTAACTATTCCTTCCTCCTGTGGACTTCATACTGCACACTGCTCATCGGGCATTTCCTATCGATAGTCCTGCCATGGCTAGCATCTCTCTTTAGCTGCAAGCACAGTCCTGGAGCGAGACAGGACAGTGGCAGATCCGGGAAGAACGTGGTCTGCGGAGACTATGGGCTCCTGGGGAAGGGAGCGCAGCTTTATCAGTGCATCGAACCTGGCCTCAGCTCCTGCATCAAAGGCCAGGAAGGAGCCAGAACCTCGGCCTGACCCCTCTGTGCCCTGAGGCTGGGCCACGGTGGAGGCAGGGCAGGCAGGAACTGGGCGGAGCCCGCTTTTCCCTCAATCCATGCGCTGGGGACTGCTGGCTTCTACCACCTGGCAGATGCCCGTGCGCAGAGTGTTCCCACAATCAGACCTGAGCCCCAACAAGCCTAGAAAAGGGGATCCAGCAGCCAGAGAGATTGGTCTGAAGGAACAGAATTCACACTCAGCAGAGGAGGAGTGCTGGGGAGAAAGACAATAGCCATTTATAGCATATCCAGCCACGGAAAGGGCACTTAAGGAGATTCAAGTCTAGCACAAAGGAGACTTCCTGGTGATACTAAAAAAATACCGGGAATTGACTTGGGGTGTGAACACAATAGAATATACAGATGATGTATTATAGAACTGTATGCCTGAAACTTATATAATTTTATTAACCAATGTCACCCCAATAAATTCAACTTTAAAAAAGGTTCCTTTTGTTTAAGTATAAAAACAGTGGTTATATAGGTTTTATTTCCTCAGGTTTTTTTTCTTTTTTAAAAGTATAAATTAATTTTTTTATATTAAAGTCATAAAAATTAACTATTTTAAAGTGAACAATCCAGGGGTGTGTGACATATTCACAGTGCTGTGTAACCACCACCACCTCTAGCTAGTTCCAGCACATTTTCATCACCGCAAAAGGAAACCTGGAACTCCCAGCTTTGTTTTTTAAAGAACTCTTTCTAAGCGATATTATGAGTTATTTAATGGGGTTATTTCAGGATGAAATGATATGATGTCTGGGTGAGGGTGGGGAGAGTGAGCAGAGGTGTAGATGAACAGGTTTGGTCACAAGTTGGTAATTATTGAAACTGGATGACAGAAACATTGCCTATTGATAACTTGCAATTGGAAGATGGGATTCATTACGCTCTCCTCTATACTTTTGAATGTATCCAAACGTTTTTATTATTAAGAAGCTAAAATATGTAAAGTGTGCCTTTTTCACTAATTAAGTTATCAGATGAAATGAAGACAGGATAGTCACTGTTGGAATCCAGTTTAGTGGCATAAAAGATCAAGTGAGAAAATATTTCAAAGGAAATTTTAGAATAGATCCAGGAGAACCTAACCTAGAAGTTCCAGAAAGAGAAAAAGAAATGAGGAAAGGTAAAAGTCCTGAACTACATATAAAAAATACCAGCAGGTCCATTCTGGACTGGATGAAAAAGGAACATACCACCAGGCACATCCCGGGAAGTCACTAGCTGAAATCCCTGAACTCTGAAGGTACAGAGAAAACGCTACATGCTTCCAAGTGAAAAGAGCTAGGTACGGTCTCCTGCAAAGCAAAGAAACCACCAGGCATCAGACTTCTTATCTGCACCTCTGGAAGGTGGAACACCAAGAAATACTACCTATCAGGCTGAGAGAAAAAGACGGGACCCCAAATCCTGTATCTGATCAAGGTATCATTTCCCTAAGAAGACTTGTAAGAAAATTAGTAGCTTTATGATATTCTAGGAATAAAAATGAAGAAAATAATCTATTCACATTGGTAACAAAAGTTATGTTACTCAGAATGAATTAGACCATAAAGACACTGGACCTACATGAAGAAATATTTAAATGTTAAAAAGAAAAGAAAAGAATCTTAAAAAAACAAAAACACAAAACCCCACTAGGTCTATATGTACATATTAAGGGCAAGGTAGACCTTTTTAATAAGGACTAGAATCCTAGAAGCTCCAGAAGAAAATAAATATATTAAACTATGTAAAAATAAATGGCAAAAAGATACTTTGAGAAAAGTCACTAGGCAAATGATGGATTTGGGAAAAAATTACAGATTATTATTTATATTATATAAAGAACTCTTAAAAACTGGCAAGAAAAAGACATACAATACAATGAAAAATGGGTAGAAAATAATTCATGTAAGAATTCAAAGGCAATCCACTTGAAAAGATTTTCACATTGGTGAGTAGGAAAAAGAAAATTAATATCACTTTGTTCTCCTTAGACTGGCAAACATTTAAAAGGGGGTAATAACTACTTATCATTTGTCGATAGAAATGTAACCTGCTACAACATTTTAAAAAAGCAAACTAGTGCCCTGGCCTGCGTGGCTCAGTTGGTTGGAGCATCGTCCCATACAGAGAAAGGTGGTGGTTCCATTCCGAAGTCGAAGCACACACCCAGGTTGCGGGTTAGATCCCCAGTTGGGGTGTGTGTGGGAGGCAGCTGATTGATGTTTCTCTTTCCCTTCCTCTCTCTAAAATCAATTTTTTAAAAAAGCAAA